TGCCACACAAGTGCGCATGCGCGCAGTGAACTCACAAAACGGGCAGACAGGTCCACAGAAACTACTGGTATGCTTAGTCCTACTTTAGTTACTGTACTGCAAAAACCAGACGGCGTTGCGCTCAACACACACACAGACTTAAAACCATGGACACACTGGCACATAAGTTACATAAACAATATACTGTATAGGTCTAAATTGCATAAGCTACAGTATTGCAACTAAGCAGACAGCGCTGCTTCTCTCTCTCTCTCTATCTCCACTTTCAAAATCTATTTAAAACTCATAACAAACAAACAAAATTCCCAAAGTTTTCCTGAAGTTAACTTATTAAATAAACGAAACGAAAAATATAGCCTACTTATGCAAACAACATTGAATCTGGACTTGAAATTATTCTGATTAGGCCTAGCCTACATGCAAATAAGCAGACAGCGAGCTGCTTTTCACACACACACACACACACACACACACACACACACACACACACACACACACACACACACGCGCGCGAACACACACACACACACACACACACACACACACACACACACACACACACACACACACACACAATACAGATAATCTGTATGTATATCTAATATTTAGAACATAATTAAGACATTTGATTTCCTTTGCAGCGTCTTGAGCAAAGTTTGTTTCTAAAAGTTGTCAAAAACATTGACAATTTACCCTAAAACATGTTTGGACTGATGTCCCACCTTCTCCAACCCATGCTGAGATACTTAGGGTATTAAACTACAACTATGAAAGGAAAACAAGTTAACAAACACATTTAAAAAATGAATATTATCATAAATATGCAACAAATATAATAATTTTATAATATAAAATAATCTTGCTTCAATGTTGGTATTATGTTATTCTTTCTTCTTCTTATTTGATGTTACTTTTAACAGCTTTTCACTTTTACACTTATTCTTGTTTTTTATCCTTTTTCTTACTAACAGCTATTTTTTGTTTGATTTTATTTTGAAAGCATTCACCGGCAGCGAAATAGTACTGCATTGAGTGTTCAGCACCCTCCTGTAGTCATACTAGAAACTGCAATAGTACATCCAAAATAACGAATAACGGTTATAATACAAGCATCATTTATTTAAATAATAACATCTAGAACCAATTATTAGAATAATTATTTCAATTGTTATTTAAAGCATAACTACGGAAGAGAATTAGGGCCACATGATTTTTTTTTTTTTGGGAAAAAAACAATTCTGACTTTAAAGTCAGAATTTTGACTTTTTCCTGAGAACAAAAAAACATAATTTTTAATAACATAATAACAGTTTTCTTTTTATCATGCAGCTTTGCTGGCCTCAAGCGGTCACACTATGGTACTACAATATAATTAACATGATCCGGTGAACTGTCAAAAATAAAATTCACTATAGACAGAGCGGTAGTTGCGCACTGTGACCACCGGAAGGCAGTATTTCAATTTAAATTCAACATTTTTTTATTGATGTGTCATCTGAAAGACAATACAAATAATTTAACCGAATAATAATATTTATATTATTAATAATAAAACAATTATAAATAATGATAATAATATTAATAACAATAAATTAGTAAGTAATATAATTCATGAATAATTGAACCAGGGATGATATAAATAGTATAGAATGTCAGATACACAACAACAGAAAATGTACAGATACTGGAATACAATAACTTCATTTTCAAATAATTTAAAGACATGTTTCTTGTAGGGATATATATACAAAATAGATAATGGTTTTTAAAAATAACTGGTTAGTACATTTATAAAAGTCAATTTGCTACAGGTTTGTTTCCCTTGTTGTAGCAGTGAGAGACAGTATATCAACACGTCTTTCAGTCTTTTGAATTCAGGGTCATTTTTTACACCAATGTGTTAAAGTTTTATCAACGTATAATATCATTATAATCAGACTGCTGCACTCGTAACACCACAGGAAGTAGCAGCCAGTTTCTGCTTTACGGCAATTTACCACTTCCTTTCACACCGGCGCTCCGTCGGGCATTTACACCGTTTGAGGACCGGCTGGATTAAAAGTCCGATTGGGTGTAACATCATTAACGGTATGATTACAGTAAAACATCATCACACAGTTTAGAAACGAACGTTTTCAGTCCTGTTTTAAGATAAACCATTGCTGTCGCTTTTTATTTGTTTAGGGCCTGAACACACCCTTAGCTTAGCATAGTTAGCGGCCACCTGGCGATATGACTAGCATGTAGCTCCGTTAGCTCACCGAATCATGGGTTAGGGAAAATAAGAACCTTTATCAGAAGAAAGTTTGGGTTTCATTCTTTGATAAATAAATTAGTTATTTCCCTGAAATGTGCCTCGTCCTTCAATCGAAATGTTTCATAACCAATATATATACCATGTTATTTGTTACCAATGTTACGCTTCAAGTGAAGCTAATGCTAAGATAATGTTAGCTAACGTTGCCAGATGTCAGCTGGTCGATAAAAGATGCTGCTACAAATGTACAAAATAAAAATGGTGGAAGTAATGAGATACACTAAAACTGTTCCTGTACTTAAGTACACGGTCGATATGCTTGTACTTGTCTCCAATATACACATTAGGGCCTCTACGATATTATTAGAAAAACCTTCATACTGATAAACACAAAAAATGTATATTTAATCGAACAATAAACATTCTATTTATGCTCTAAATGCTATTATCTTTTTTATTTTGGTGTAATATCTTATGGTTTTGTCATTGGTGCCACTTTTAGCTATAGGTAAAATGTGATAAACACAATAGATTATATTAACAATGACTAAATAATGATTTCAACGTAATCAGCACCATTACCTATAGAGGAAACTGTTGAAGCTTAAGGTGCCCGTTTAATAAATATAAGTTTCCTGTCTAACAGTACCAACATGTTGTTGGGTGATGATGGGTCAATGAGGACTAGCCCACTGCGCAAGCTGATCAGTGCCTATGTGTTTTAGTGCATTGCTGGAGAAACCTGTGCTGCTCATTTCCTGAGACCCTGTGCTTGTTAACACTTTGATGCTATGTACTGTATTTATGTATCTGGCCATCATTGCAATCATTTAATGAAACTATGGTTCACAGAAATGTCTTCTCCACTCCGACTTCAGGTCATGGCGAAGTTCAACGCCCCCGTGATCCAGGACAATCCGTCCGGATGGGGTCCTTGTGCGGTCCCAGATAAATTTAAAGACATGCCCTACCAGCCTTTCAGCAAAGGAGACCGTCTCGGAAAGGTTAGTTTTTTCACATAAAAGAAAGTGTTTCACTCTAAGAAGCAGGTTGTTTTCAGTTTCCTCACAATGCATTTCTCCCGGTCAGGTTGCTGACTGGACTGGAGCCACTTATCAAGACAAGAGATACACAAGTGAGTAAAACTGCTGTCCCGCCAAATGTACCTCCACCTAACTTTCAATAAAGTGTCTTTCACTTCAGATGTTAGGAAAAACCAAAGTTGATTTCTCATGTGTATATATTTTCTTCAGATAAATATTCCTCTCAGTTTGGAGGCGGTAGTCAGTACGCCTACTTTCACGAGGAGGACGAGACGAGCTTCCAGCTGGTGGACACGGCCAAGACGCAGAAGACCGCCTACCAGAGGAACCGCATGAGGTTTGCTCAGGTAAGACAGACCGCAGAAACATTGAATGTTGCCTCATGTATTAAAATGTAAGGGTTGTATATTATATTTGAACCGGCCCATAACATGTCTTTTTGTGTCAACAGAGGAATATGCGCAGGGAGAAAGATCGCAGGAACATGACTCAGTTCAACATGCAAACACTCCCCAAGAGTGCCAAGCAAAAGGAGAGGTGAGAAATGTACAACGTTAGCCGATGTTATTGTTAGAAGAATGATCCCATTATGGTATTAACCTCCCATTTGTTTTTATTGCAGGGATCGTATGCGCCTGCAGAAGAAGTTCCAGAAGCAGTTTGGTGTCCGTCAGAAGTGGGACCAGAAATCCCAGGTTTCGATCGGTTATTCCAATTTGCTACTGCATTAGAGCTGCGAGCGCTACTCATTGGTCGATTTGTCGTTTGATCATTTATCAGCCTTTATTTTAATAGTGTGAATCGTTCTTTTTGGTGTCAAATTGTTGATGGCAGAACATTTACTTCATTTCTGTGATACATTTTGAGGAGGGAACGCCTATTGATCCTTCTGTGTAGGGCTTTGTCAACATGGGTGTTAACATTTGTTCTTCCCATACCACCTTCCCCCCCATTCAACCCTTCTATCCTTCCATACCACCTTCCCCCCCCCATTCAACCCTTCTATCCTTCCATACCACCTTTCCCCCGCATTCAACCCTTCTATCCTTCCATACCACCTTTCCCCCCCCCATTCAACCCTTCTATCCTTCCATACCACCTTTCCCCCCCCTCTTTGTTTCTTCCTCCTCTGTGCACATACACTTTGAGGCCCAGCTGAAGCCCAGAGACTCCTCTGTGGAGGTGAGGAGCGACTGGGAGGTGAAGGAGGAGATGGACTTCCCCCGACTGATGAAAATGAGATACAACGAGGTGGCTGACCCTGAGGACATGTAAGTCTACTTTTTTGCACTTTTGATTCTATTTCAACACATTTTTTTTGCAGATTAAAATTGGGTGGAGTATTTTACAATTTGTAGAATTCCAGTGGTAAGATTTTTTCTGACTTCTGTTGTGATAAGCTTTTCAAAAAACATACATTTCCCTCTGGTCAAAAACTGTTAGCTCTTCCAATTGCTGCACACAGAGGGTTATTTACAGGATTGCCGCACTATTTTTTGCCCTAAGATTGTCAGTCTGCTGGCATTACAAAATGTTTTATGGAAAAAATAACCTAATCTGGTGAATCCATTTATTTAAATGTAGGATTTTGTTTAAAGATTTAAAAATCTTTTTTGAGGCGATATGACAGACACACCATTTTTGATTTATTTTTTGCAGTGAGTGCTGCGGGGCTTTGGAGCACTACGATAAGGCTTTTGACCGGATCACCACCCGCAATGAGAAGCAGCTGAAAAGCATCAAGAGGATCTTCCACACCGTCACCACCACTGATGATCCCGTCATCCGCAAGGTGCGCACATTTTGCCATTATCAGCTGATACAGTAAACAAACAGTGCTTTTCTTTTACGTCAACATACCTTTTCCTGTTCTGCTTCTAGCTGGCTAAGACTCAGGGTAATGTGTTTGCCACCGACGCCATCTTGGCGACCTTGATGTGCTGCACACGCTCTGTCAACTCCTGGGACATCATCGTGCAGAGAGTGGGCAACAAGCTGTTCTTTGACAAGAGAGACAACTCTGACTTTGGTGAGAGATCTACTGACACTGGGGGTTTCACAAAGACATCTCAATTTACTCTTGACAAATTTGGTTACTTTTCAGATGACAGTTTTTCCTCTCCTTACTGTCCAGTAAAGATAACCTAGTCCAGATGAACTTAAGAATACTTTAAAAAGCTTTTTAGATCAGCTGTGAGTTCTATGGCTACAAAGCTGAGCATGGGGCAGTTTCTTCTGAAAATACATCAACAGTTTAATTCTAACAAATAAGGGGTCAAATAACATGATGAAACACACAGGAAGCTTTTACTCCACAATCATTACGTTCACTTAAAGTACTAAAACTACACTTTTATGCACAACAAATGTTACCTTTTTCATAATTTTAATACGTTTGCTAATAATACTTGCATACTTTAAAGACCAAATGTCTTGCCGGAGTTTTACTTGTAGTAGAGTAATTTTACCGTTTTGTATTAGTACTTTTAATGAGGCGAAGGATCTGAATACTTCTTTCTGTACTGTATTTTAACCTGCCTGTAACCGCTGCTCTCAGATCTGCTCACCGTGAGTGAGACGGCCAATGAGCCGCCGCAGGACGAGGGAAACTCCTTCAACTCTCCTCGTAACCTGGCCATGGAGGCCACGTACATCAACCACAACTTCAGCCAGCAGTGTTTACGCATGGTGAGAACAAGTTCACAATGTAAAGCCCTCACCATTACCAGAGTCTCTGTGCTAAGCTTGTCAAATCCTTCTGTCTGCAGGGAGAGGTTTCCATATAGTTATAAAGGGAAAGTGAAAATGTGTAATGCATTTATAAAAATTAGGATTACAACATCAAACTGAGGTTCGAACACTACCATTTATTGGGCTTTTGGGCTAATATACGTAAACTTGTTTTTGTTTGTTTCATTTAATTTAGTAGTTAAAATTGTAGAAATTAAGTTATGTAAAAAGGTTAGGGGATATAAGTATAATAAGCATTTGGTCAGAATAAACCTGCCTTTGTTCATATTTAAAAAGTACTTCAGATGTATTGTTTTGGAGTTGTATCCCTTAAAAAGACATAAATAAACTGGATTCTGTTTTCATTTCGCCAGGGTGGAGAGAGGCACAAGTTTCCTAACCCCAACCCGTTCGTGGAGGAGGATACGGACAAGAGTGAGGTGGCCTCTGTTGCCTACAGGTATGAACGCAAGATAAATAAACTGCTTACGTACACTATGTACACGTCATTGGACGTAATAACGGCTTCCTCTTAGGCTGACGACTTCCTTTTTTGTTCTTTAGGTACCGTCACTGGAAGCTCGGGGAAGATATCGACCTGATCGTCCGCTGTGAGCACGACGGAGTGATGACCGGCGCCAACGGAGAAGTGTCCTTCCTCAACGTCAAGACCCTCAACGAGTGGGACTCCAGGGTAAGAGGCAGCAGGAGTTCTTTCAGGAGCAGAGGATTTCTTTGTCTCTACATGATTTAAGTCTTTTGCAAAGTCATGAGCTACTTTTGGTTTAGTTTATTTCACAACTAACAAGTACCATATGAATTAGTAAGCAAAAGGCCAGTAAGTGCGGTTCTTGTGCAATCACAATTGGAGGACTTAAGGCGAGACACGGCAGGCAAAAACATCGTTTTTCAAGCACTGGTCAATTTTGAGATTTTGTGCTATTTTGATTCTATAACATGTTTTCTTTCAGGCTTTTGGAAGGAAAACGTACAAAATACACATTTAAGTGTTTATTTGACTATAGTTTGTCTATTTGCGTCAGTAGATTTCTCCTAAATTCACCAAAAGTTAGCTTTCTAACGTAACATAAAGTACCGCGACCGCTGTGTGCACCATGTCAACAGAGATATCGTTAGAAAGCTGTGTCTCTCCTGCACAATGTCATCGGATCCAAATATGGTCATTTCCTTTGTATCAGGAACCAATCGTGAAAGCACAAAGGGGTCTTAAACCAAGAAACGAAATCTCATTGGCTGGTGTCAATTTCAGACAACGTGATTCGTTCAGATGCGTCACGTGGTGTGCTAAAACACTTCCTGGTTAGCTTTCCGCTAGAAATGTAAATCTCAAAATGGCAAAAGAACGGCGAAAAAAAAGTTTACAGAGAAGATGACAACAATTATCCCTTNACAGCAAACAACGGAGCACAGGCGGTCCGCTGCGTAAAAAGCAGACGATTGTGTTTATGTACTTGATCTGTTGCCTCACTTTGCGAGAGTGCTATTGCGCAATCGTCTGCTTTTTACGCAGCGGACCGCCTGTGCTCCGTTGTTTGCTGTGTAATTTAGACAGCGCAGGTGTTCAGATGAGGTTTTCTCTGGTGCTTTTTCCCAGTTTAGAGATAAACACTCTGATTAATTCATTTAAGTTAATGATGTTGTTTTAAAATAACAATTTATCCTTTTTATTAAAACATGGTTTGTTATTATTGAGAATGCAGTGAGGCCTGCAACATGTTTGTAATTTGTGTAGCATGTGAGCTAACATTTGTTTGTCCTCTTGTGTTTTGAAGGTTTTCAACCTGATTAATTCTTGGAGCTGTCTTAAATAAAGAAAGACAAAAAGAACACAATTCGAGTTGTCCAAGCGTCCTCTGTTGCCCTCCAGCCTCTCAAGTCAGGCTAAATCACNCTGTTTTTTTTGTCTTAGCTGAACTAAGACAAAAAGAACAAAATTCGAGTTGTCCAAGCGTCCTCTGTTGCCCTCCAGCCTCTCAAGTCAGGCTAAATCACTGATACAGGCCAAAACCCTGAAGGACTTGACACAAGGTGTGTGTGTGTGTGTGTGTGTGTGTGTTTTGTCTGCTTATTTGCAATGTAGGGTAAGCCTAATCAGAATAATTTCAAGTCCAGATTCAATGTTGTTTGCATAAGTAGGCTATATTTTTATTTTTGTTTATTTAATAAGTTAATTTCAGGACAACTTTGGGAATTTTGTTTGTTTATGAGTTTTAAATATATTTTGAAAGTAGAGAGAGAGAGAGAGAGAGAGAGAGAGAGAGAGAGAGAGAGAGAGAGAGAGAGCGAGAGAGCGAGACAGAGAGAGAGAGAGAGAGAGAGAGAGAGAGAGAGAGAGAGAAGCAGCGCTGTCTGCTTAGTTGCAATACTGTAGCTTATGCAATTTAGACCTATACATTGTTTATGTAACTTATGTGCCAGTGTGTCCATGGTTTTGAGTCTGTGTGTGTGTTGAGCGCAGCGCCGTCTGCTTTTTGCAGTACAGTAACTAAAGTAGGACTAAGCATACCAGTAGTTTCTGTGGACCTTGTCTGCCCGTTTTGTGATTGCACTGCGCGCATGCACACTTGTGTGGCATTGTTTGGGATGACCTAATTAAAATAGCGTCCCCCCAGTAAAAAAATCACCACTACACCACTGGTCCCGCCCCTTAGCCTATCACGTACAATGTGTTGGAATGCTAGCCAATAGAAGTGTGAGGGTAACATAGTGATGTCCCTATGTTACGGAAGTAAACAAAGGAGTCCAATGGAGGCATTTCAGGCAGGGTGAGGGAGAGAAACTCCCTCTGAAGGAAACTTTGGGATTTAGCCTTTGCAGACCCTTTACATGCACAAAAACCTATACACACTACCGGACAGGGAAAACCCCAAAAGCATAATGGGGCCTCTTCAAAAGAGAAGCCAGTTAGCTAAGATTAGCATAACGATTGGAAACAGCTAGCATGGCTCTGTCCAAAGGTAAAAAAAACACCATAAGCAACAAAATATTAAAACTGGAGCGGCACAATTATGAGAAAAACAAACAAATGAACACAATGCAGTGTGTGTGATGTACAAAATCTACCTGCATCAGAATACAAATACAAATTAGAATCGTTTTAATTTCTTATGAGGTTGTGTGTGTGCTGCATTTAAATCAAGAACAACAATTCAAAATGCAGTGAGGGATGAAAGTAATAAAGACCAGTGGGATGAAACTCTTCATGCCTCCTAAACACTGTGCTAATTAACATCACTGTGTGTTTGAATGTGAAAGTATCAGGGCAAGGCATACCTTCTGCAGATGAGACATTTTTTTACATTTTGCAATTCAAGGGGAAAACTTCTTAATGTCGCGGAAAAAAATAAACTTTCAGTAGATGCCCTAACTTTATTCTCAATATTTATTTATTTTTTGACCATTGGACTTAATATTTTCACTTCTCCATTAAGATTTCAATTTCCACTTGCACCTGATACACTTCACTATAAATGTGCCCCATAATAAAATGAGACTTGTAATCCCACCCCAAAGGGAAGCATTAATGTTTGATAAGGGTCGGTATGCCGTTTTTGCACAGAGTTTCCATGGTTTCTCCTGACAAAAAAAGTGAATAACGATCTATTAGCGTTAACTTGACCATATTGTGAGTGGGTGTGTTTCTGTGGGCAGGGAAGCATGCTGAGTCACCGGCTGACTATCACCTCGCTGTGTGCTGTTAGCACAGGTGGGTTATCGCCGACGGGAGTCTGGGAACCCACAGCTCAATATTTATAGATCAACAACACACACAAACATCTTACATGCAGAGAGAAGAGCAAACAGCTCCACAATCTCAACAAATCTCCGTTATCGCCAAACCCCTCCGGAGGGCTTTGCAAATAAAATACAGCCAAACAAATCTTTTTTTAATGTGCCTTTAATGAAGATCTGATGCTCCTCCTCGGCATATCTTTGCAGGAGGGGAGCGTGGGCTGAAGAGCAGCAGCAACACAGTAACACCCCGTTTCACTGTATCTACAGCCAGCTCAATGTACGTGTGGTGGGTTCACACTCATGAATGAACGGCTGTGAGGACAGTTTCTGATGAATGGTGGAGAGTATAATATCTTTCTAAAAACGTGTGTTGTCAATAAATGTAGATGTCACAGTAAAATGTGCAAAAAGTGGTGGATGACGAAGAACCTTTACTTAGTAAGTAAAAAGGACCATTAACATAGTGTAAAAGTATGCTGGTATAAGCATCAACATAAGATTCAAGCAACACAAGTAAAAGCACTCATCATGCAGCTCGGCCACTTAAGTTAAAAATATTTTTAGACTTGTTATGTGCTCTTCAATTTAATGTCGCAGCTGGAAAAAGTGGAACTTATTTTAAGCACTTTATATATTATCACATTACATGTCACTTGTTAGACGCTTTTATCCAAAGCGACTTACTCAGTACTGTGGGCAATCCCCACAGGAGCAATTTGGGGTGATGTGTCTTGCCCAGGGACACAACGACATGCTGACTGCAGGTTTGATCCTGTGACCATCTGATCCCCAGACCAAGGCTCTATCCACTGCGCCACACGCTGCCATGTGCTTGGTCGATACATTTACCTCAGAGGATAATTAACAGTGTATCTTAAGCTTTACATATTAATTTAATTGTGTCGAGTGAAGTTGAGTGGAGAACAAGAACAGAATAACATCAATTTAGGTAAAGTGGGACATGAAATGCTACATTAAACTTGCAACGTAAAACAAAATATACCAAAAATCTGAGAATATAAAGTTAGCCATGTCACCTAGATTAAAATGAAGCTCTGTGGATCTCCTAAGAAAACCCTTTTTTTCTTAAATAACTTTTCAATTAAAAAAACAATATTACAAATTATTCTGCTTTTGATTGTAACCATTCTTCAAAATGCGTTCTTGTTAATTATTTATTTAAAAAAAAGATTTGTGTTTGTGGAGTCCTTAAATGTGTCTGATAAAGAATAATAATGAACTGTAAATTTGTTTGTTTTACATGATAACGGACATTCTTAAAATAGTTTATCAGGCAAATTAAGTATAGTCCTTGTTTCTTCTGATAAGAAAATTATTATTAACTTTTAATTTCTGACAATGTTACAGGCTATTACAAATCATTTGTTTTAGAAATACCTGTTATATTATATGTTGTAGTACAGGTATGAATTGTATTATATTGTATTGTATGCAGGAAATTATGTGTTTTTTAATTTTTTTAAATCAATATAATTAATTAAAGCAAAATGTTTCCTATGACATGTGTTTTTCAGTCCATCTTGATCTGCAATCAGAACAACAACATATATTGTCTAAGGTTTTAATGTGCTACAAGATGAGTGCTAACCTATTATTGTGCACAACAACCTTTACAACAGTCTCCACATTTCAGCAACAACACTTTAATTAAAATTAATTTCCAAACATCAGGATCAACATCTGGATGTCAATCATTAACATAAAAGCTTCTGTTCATAATGAGAACTCTGTATCAAGTGAAGGCATGTAAACACATCTCTTGGAAAATTATGTTTTTATACCACACATTTCATAACTAAATTATATTTTCATTTCCATAATAAGGAAACATTTGGTCAGAAAAACTCTATGCCTAAAAAGATAAAGGAAATCTCCTTTATCTGGCTGAAATGAACAGTTACATCAAGGCCTTTTAAGAGAGTTTGGTGATTCGGGAAAATCAATACATAAATTGTTGCTGTCATACGCCCAATGTTACTGAACATACCAGCTAAGTTGCCACAACCTCACCCACGCTTTATACATCCATCTACCTACACAAGCTTATTTGAAATAAAAAACACAATGCTAGCAATATTTAGGTGCCCCATAACCCTGTGTTTCCTATACACATAATTAGTAAAAGATGGGATTGCAGGCATGTGATTCCTATTGTGAATAAAGGTGTTAGCATTGCCATGGTTGACATTAGCTTAAAAACAGTCAAGTTTCAGCAGAATCTTGTCACATTATAGAATTAAAAGGCTACAAGTACAGGCACCAACAAGTTACATTTGAAAAAGGTTGGTAGTAGTAGAAGTGATAAAGGCACAACTTTGTACATTCATATTCATGCATATGTACACAATATATACAGGGATACACTTTGTATCTTGGCAAAACTTGAACTTAATGTTAAAGGAACTTAGAGTCCATTCATTCAAAAAACACTTAGCTGCATCTGAGTGTTTCTAAAGTTTACTTTATATATATATATATGTGTATTCTTTTATACAAACTGTCTCTTAATACTGTTACATACGGCCCTTACTATAAGTAGCTTATTTACAGTGAAGCGCTCTGTTCCAAGTCGTCCTCTGGCAGAGGTTTAACGCTGCCATTTTGGTTTCCGTTGAGAAGTAGCGGTACAGTCAGTGTGGAGCCGTTGGCAGAATCTTTTCCCTTCACATCCCCAGATTTGCCCCTCCTGTCCGGGCTTGACAGATCCGTTGCTCCCGGAGTTGCTGCTTTATCGGACAACAGCGGCTGTGTGCTCTCAGGCTGAAAGCTGCTGTTGCCGTTTTGGCCGATTCTGTAGATCTCAGTCATTTCCGAAATGTCTTCCACTTCTTCGTACTCCACTTGTCTGAGACCCCTTCTCAGGCTCTCCCTGGGCTTGAGCCCCGCCCTGCCCTCCTTCTGCTCCGGCTGAGGCTCCATTGGCTCGTGGTTCTCCACTTTTCTCGTGGAGCGGCACAGGGCTTTCCTGAAACCCCTCTTGAAGTTGTCTGATAGAAAGCCATAGACAATAGGGTTGGCACAGCTGTTGGCGTAGCCAAGCACAACGACAAAATAGTAAAGCCCATGGTACTCAGGGGGCAGGGACACGAGCAGGTTGATGATGTTAAGGCCGTAGAAGGGCAGCCAACAGAACACAAAAACGGCTACGACAATCACAACCATGCGCGTCACCTTTCTCTCAGACTTCCTCCGTTTGGTGGAGGTGGCATGGACTTTTTTTCCAGAGCTCCGGATTTTAAAGACGATGAGCAAGTAGCACAGGCAGATGATAAGAAGAGGGCAGAAGAATCCGATTGTAAAGGTGTAAATGATGAAAGCCGCGCTCCATATGTTCGCCGGTTCGGGCCAGTCGATGTTACACGTACCACCCCCCTTCTGAATGTTGGCAAAGATCACCACAGGCATAACGACGAGAAATGAAAGAGCCCACACGGTGCCATTCACCATTTTGGCCACTTGAGGTCGGCGCCACTTTGATGAGCGAATGGGGTGCACTACGGCGAGGTATCGGTCAATGCTCATCACTGTCAGGCAGAATATGCTCGTGAACTGGTTGATGGAATCGACGGTCATCACCAGGCGGCACATGAAGGAGCCAAATGGCCACGACTGCATCGTGTTCTGCACCGCCAGGAAAGGCAAACCAAGCATAAAGAGCTCATCGGCGATGGCTAAGTTGACGATGTAGATGTTGGTCACTGACTGTATCTTCGAGTAGTGCAGCGCAATGTGAATCACCAGAGTGTTTCCACCCAGGCCGATGACACACACGATTATGTATATGAGCGGTATGAGGACCCCGGCCACGCTGGGGCCCGAGAAGATGGGCGCAGCAGTGGAGTTGGTGTCGTTGAACAGCGTAAAATTCAGATCGCTGTTGTTGAACATGAGAAGGAACAGGGGGAGTCCCGGGGAGGGGCTGGCAAGGCTGCCGTTTTCCCACGTCTCATCCGTCATCTCCATCCCTGGAAAGTGAGGCGACACCCGTGGATCTCTCAGCCGATATTATCCTCCTGACGTCTCAGCTCCCGCCCATCTGCTCTGTTGGAGGGAGAAAATCAATTAGCTGCTGTAAAGTCTTCTACACTTCTATACATGCTGGATCTCTGAAAAAGCTGCAATGAAAACACATCTTTGCCTTCGAAGGACAAGATGAGATGTTCCTGTTACAATGCCGAAGTGCTGCTGACTTCAAGAACACATATCTTTTCATTTGAAAAACGTCATGTTGCACATTCCAACTTGTTTGGTTTTTGCGGCTATGATTAAATAGATTTAAGGGACATTTTGGTTGAAATTGCATGCACTTTCTGTACAAACTGACTGTTAGTGTTACATAGTGTTTTGAAATTTGTTTTTTATTTTCAACCAGAATTTTTTGAACATTTGTTAAGTAATAACTTTGAATGCATGTGGTAGAGATCCTTAATTGTATAATTTATCAATAACATTTCAAACATAAACCTAAAGGCTGAAGTTGCAAGTACTGCTACCAACAAACAAAAATGAGTGGTTGATTCATGGTGAATCAAAAATGCATTATTACATGTTTCATCTTTTATATTTTAAATGTGATTGTACTTAAGTTGTTATTAAGTTCTGTTTTATTCAAGACTTATTGCATCAGTTGAAAGTTTTATTATTTAAATATGAAAAACTCACAACACATTTAAATAAAACAATTTGCACAACTGCAACAGACCCTAAACAGATTGCAACTTAATTAAAAGTGATCAGAAAGCAAAAAATTACTTTTCTTTTCCAGTTTTTCCCTTTCTATTTTAGTATGATAGTGGTGACGAAGTAATTCGTCCACATGATGTAATAGTGCTCATGGGGGTAGTGATGTTGAAATGAGAGGAAATGTTTGCACACACATGCACTGTTTGCCCTGATTTATTGAAGCTCTGCTGAAAGAACTGAGGAATAAACATCATAAAATACTGTAATGACAAACACAGGAACTAGACAAAGATAACACCCGAAGGACAAAAAAACACTGAGTGGAAACAGGTGGATAGGAAATGATGAGCCTGAAAAGAAACAATTAAAATTGGGTGAAGATGGATGTTTGTTGGTAGATTGATTTAACAACAGCAGCTATATTTGTTTCTTTTGACACGGCAGGTGAATTAAACAGTGTGTGTTCCCACACGTGGGCGAGGATGATAATTGACATCTCATGATCAGCGCCAGCAGTACTCTGGTAATATGAACTGAGAACACACAGGGGGGAGACGCCGTATAGACTAACGTTTGCTAAACGACCTCTTAAAAGCTGGCACAATCGTCAGCAGATTCACAAAGTCATTTTCATTTAGAAAATTGCAAAATAATTAGCCTTTTTTCATTAAAAAATGTATTAATATATTAGCCATGCTAGCAGGGTGGCCATGGCCAGCTATAAAGTTTTATCTGGAATTATTTCCTTTACATCCCACTGTCACTCTGATCGACTTGAAACTGTTTAAAGCTGACAGCTATCTGTGTAGAAAAGATAAAACACCCTCATCCGGCATGTGTACCCAGAATGCATGAGAATACTGACATCAGTGTCAGTAGCAGACAGCTCGGCAACTCTCTTCTGCGCTGCGGGGGTGCAGAAACATGGATGAATTATTAAGCGAAATTTGATTTGAGTTGGCTCAAGTCTTTTACAGATGAAACATGCTTCTGGAATAGTTTCAAGGTACAATAACATAGCTAAACCTTTATTAATACCGATTGGGAAATTCAGTCATAGTGGAACAGCAATAAGAGTGAAACATAGGATAGGACAGGTAAGAGTTCACACCACACAAGGATGATACGAATATAACATGTCATCAAAAGTATAAATAAAAAATAACCACAGTAGGAACTTTGCTTAGGAACCGGGAACAAATTAATTTTAAAAGGGGCCATTTTGTCTTCCGGGCACCGCTGAGGTGCCTCGAGGTGCAAGGTGACAGACACCCACAATGCTCCCCAGGCGTTTTACATATAAAAGCTGCCCACTATAGGATGGTTAACTTGCAGAGTCTTCATTTCACTGTGTGCGGTGCTGTGTACAAATGTGGAAAAAGATGGCAGTAAATCAGCTCCATTTAAGTAGAAATTATGGACATCACTAATGTGTCCTTAGACAAATAAAACAGTAATTTTACCTTTCTGACAATTTACTGTAATTTAATTATGTGGTGAAAGAGGCCTATTTTGTCTTAATAATTATTGTATTTTTTGTATTAA